TTGTTGAATATTTTACCTAGTCCAGTTGATCGAGAATAATATTATTGAACACCTCTAATCAATCTTGTGCTCCTAACAAATTTGTTTATTTTGGTTCTTCTAAATGCAGGACTGTTATTCGATGTGACTCATGAGTGACACTGAATTAGTATATGATTTGGTTCTTGAAAAATTGTAATACATGGTGAGCTTTTACTTCTTTTAGAGGAATTGCATTCTTTCACTTAGAGAATTAATTAGTCACAATTAGAATGAACCTATGTCACTTGGACAAAAGAGGGTGTCCCATTATGTTTGTGTTGCAACATTTAAAGGGACATAAGAAAATTATGGGACGTACTATACTATTCGGTTGATGTAAAATTATGACATGTATTTGACATTAATGAAAATTTTGTGCAATTTCCATGCAAATATTAATAACTATTAGCCACAAATGCACCATTCTCTTAATCTTTTTTTTTTTTCATTTTAGCGCCAGATAGGTGGGCAACATATATTTCAAAGTGTACTTCTTTGACTATCTTTTAGGCTTCGCGCCTATCTAAGCAATATAAGCACATTATGATTGAAAGATCTTTATGAAGTGTGTCATTTATTGGGGCATTAGATAACACTCAGGATTTCATTTGATGAGCTAATGATTTATCTTGAGTTAATTTTACCTCTCATAGGTAATCCACAAAGGTTTGTCTTCAATCAGTTGATTCCTCAGCTGAAGTGAGAGCAACCTTCCCTTTGATCTTGTGTCTATGAACATACTACATATCAATTGTGATCAGAGGACCCAACAATCGTGAACTTTGATCGGCACATACTCCTTTTCCAATTAAGTTATCTCCTTAACCAACATTATTAAATCATCCACAATGGTATTACTGTCATAGAGTATTCAATACAAGTTGATATTTGATATTTATTAAACTAAATTCATAGCATATTGTTAGTGTTGATGAATTCATGGTTTGAAAATTTTGCATGTTCAAGTAATTTGATCGATCACCAACTATGAATCTCCAAAAAAATTGATTTCTTAAAATTCCATCAGAATTGTTAACTACAGACCAGTAATTAGAGCCTCATGATGTGCCTTGTTATAGGCACATGACTCTGATAGATGAGTTCAAGAAATTAATTGGAAGGAAGTAAGTTCTTTAATATATTTAAATCACATACAGCTATTTCATTAATAAAGAAATGAACGACTATGATTTCACTCTCCTCATTAGTTCAAGAAATTAACTACAACATCTCATCAAGAAGCATGTGATCCCACAAATTTAATGGAGGATTCTAGAATTTTTTATCCATTAAAGAGGATCAAGTCCTAAGAAACCAATTCTACATTCAATATTTTTGAAGATTTATATCTGTTAAACAATTGAAGAAAAATAAAAATATATTTGGGTAGTGGATTGAGGAATATCCAATGCAGCGAGGATCCAACAATTAATGGCTTTATTAGTTTTTTTGGGCATATCCAATCCTCTTAGCATGAATTGTAAGAGCTCCAATCACCCAAGTAAAGAATTTGATCAAAACCAATGTCACCCTCTCAGAAGTAGATCATATTTTGGTTTGAAGAGGAGAAATGGAGAGCAATGGCTCAAGATGCAAGCAGTTCTAGAAAAAGGTTTTGAATGTAAGCAAGTGAATCCGAAGACATTAAAGTATGGGTTATTTATAACCTTTATGGTGAATGGGTTCAGCCAAGAAAGAGGCAATAGTTGTATTCCAACTTATATGTGATTTTTGGATAATCCAATAAGAGGCTTTCAAGTGTTTTTGGTCATTTCGATGGAATTGGCTAACTATTGGGTTGACCTTGTCTTGCTCAATTTGGATTTTAGATGAGTATATACTACTGGGTTGGGCTAGTAGTGATTTAACTCTATTATATAAAGTATTTAAATGAATAGCAAAGCCTTGATTAGGTCTTCCTAACATAGTATTTTGAATGACCTAATTGTAATCGATGATTTTGGGTTAGTTTATGTTTGAAAGGGTTCAAGTGGAAATGGATCATCTTGGGAAGACTACTAGAGCCAAATGAATCATTAAGAAGACTTTGGTAATAGTTACTTTGACTTTGATTGAACTAATTATAAACAGAATAATTTGAATTTAAGTGAATTTAAATTGATTCAAGGTCCAAATAGTCTTAGATTTATTTGGGCGACTCACCTAAAATTTTAGAAAATGCCTTGCCAATTTCAATTTTAATTTGAACTTTTAGGGTCATGTTAAGTGACTGAATTGATCTAATCAAAATTTAAAGGGTCTAGGGTTTGAGTACAATTGATCATTTTGAGATTTTTTGAACATTTATTTAATCTAACTTTATTTGGTTTTAAATAATTTTGATTATTGAATGATACCCATAATGAATTTTTAATAGTTCAAGCCAACTCAATGGCTAATTTGAGGTTTAAATGTTTTAATGGAAGATCAAATTGATTGGATTGAGCTTGAATAAGAATTATGTTTTATTTGATTTGATTTGAATTAGAGTTAAGTTGTTTTGGCTGAGTATAGTCCAACGTTCTTTGATTAGATCATATTTGGATTTACACACTCGAACATTTACAAAATTCAAATTTATAAGATTTATTAATTTTTGCTAGAGTACAAATTTATTTACGACAGTTTTTCAGTTTCTTTAATTTTCTAATCACTATCACATTTCTATTTGACTATTAATTTCTTATTAATTTCTGGAAATTTTCACTACGAGAAGCTATTTTTTTGTGCTTAAACATGTTAATATATATTGGTTTTTTTTTTTTCAACAAGAAATATTTGTAACATTCATAACATTTATAATAAAATCCATATAAAACATTTTACCATTTTATGTATTTTTTTTTTGGAAGTTGAGTCTTAATGCCAACTAGATTATAGATAAATAGTTAGTGATTAGGGTGTGCATTCAATTTGGGTCACCTAATTGAGGTGAAAACTCCCCCCCAAGCTTGCATAATTATAAAATGTCATAAAAATTTATAGTTGCCCAATCGTACAAATAGGGTTATAAATGAACCAATGCACTCAATGAACAACTTGAATTTGGCTCGGTTAAGACTCCATTGTGTTTGTTTAAATTAATAAATAAACAATTTTAAACATTTTTTAAAAGATTGAAAGTTAAATGAATTAAACATGAATATAGTCCAACTTATTCATTAATGTTCACGAATAAACTCGTTTGTTGTTCAACAAATAACTTGTCAAAATATTTGATATTAGTATCGATAATAACTTATATCATTTATGATATATTATTTAAATAATATTTGATTAGCTTGAATTTATTTAATTATATATTTAATATCATCTTATGAGGAAATATTTATTATAGACACTTGATGATATCATACGGGTTGTTTCATTTTCTTGTTTGATTTATTAAATTATTGATTTATTAAGATTTATTAAATCATTTTCTGAATATTTTATACAAAAATATATATTATAGTTTGAAATTATTGCTTGTGTAAATACCCACTCATTTGTCATAAACAACAAACACAAATAAAATTCAAATATTAAAAAATTTAAGTAAATCAAATTTGGATATAAATAATTTATAATTATATTTAAGGGTTTGTTTGGAGCAGCTGCTGCTGTTCACAAATGTAACTCCTGCTTATAAATCAAATTTGGATATAAATAATTTATAATTATATTTAAGGGTTTGTTTGGAGCAGCTGTAGCTGTTCACAAATGTAACTCCTGCTTAAAAAAAATTTGCCGTTAAAAAATCTAAGGTGACTCCTAAATGATATTTTTTTGACCGCAGCCACAATTTTAGTGAAAGAAAAAACTTCCACAACACGACTCTAGCACGAAAAATTATTATATAAGGACTCCACATGCAGAGCTTCTTGCGGAGTCCAATCCCGTGTTGACACGTGGAAGGTCGACTCACCTACATAAAAAAATGAAAAAAAAATTGAAAATGCGTGAGCCAACTTGATCGATGCGTTACAGAGCCTAAGCAAATATTTTTGTGTTATTTATCATTGTCGTCGTATTATAAGAATATTCACTCGTGTTATTCTGAATATCACATAAATAATACATGAATAACACATCAATAATGTAAAAAAATATTCAGAATAACGCTAGAGAATATTCCTATAACATGAAGTATTTCTAAACCTTCAATAACACATTAAATAACTATAAGTTATTAATAAATATAAATTATGACATCTAAATAAATTATTTTTGTTCTATAACACACTAATAACACATAATAACACGCATAATAACACAATTATACACTCCCTAACCCGCGGTATAGCACGTGGGGAATATTCTTTGCGTGTTGTACCGCAGGTTATAACCCATCCTCACGTGTTATACAGCCGCCTTATAACACTCCCTTAGCCTGCAGTATAACATGCATAGAATATTCTCGATATATTATATCGCGGACTATGGAGAGTATAATTGTGTTATTATGTATGTTATTAGTGTGTTATTATATGTTATTACATGTTATTAGTGTGTTATTGTGAGATTCACGAGTTTTCATTACTATTTCATTTTTTTTTATGTCGGTAGGCCTGCCTCACTCCAGCACTGCCGCCCAAAAGGCGAAAAATTATTACATCAGTACTACGCACGTAGAGCTACGTGCGTAGCAAATGAAATCACGCCACGCAAGAGAAAAAAAACGACCCGGTAACACAGGAGAATATTCCCCGTGTTATTCACGTGTTATTGTATGTTATTCTTGTGTTATTGTATTCTGAGAATATTCCTGGTGTTATAATAACACAATAACACATGAATAACATATAATAACAACTGAATAACACGGGGGAATATTTCCCATGTTATGGGGTATATTTTTTGTTTTTCTCGCCTTGATTTTACCGATAATGAGGGTGAAAATTCTCCCGTATTATTCAGATATTATTGTATGTTATTCATGTTGTTATCTGAATATTACCTGAATTTTTTTTTTTTTTTTTTGATTTTATTGGCTAGGCATAGCAGTCCTACCTAAAGAACAGCTCCTTCACCCTCGGATGTTGTCGCCGCCGGGCGTCGCAAATTTGTTGCCGCGGTTGATTTGGACTCGACAGATGGCTGTAAATCGACTTTTAGTAGAATCGGCGGCGAAATCACCAGCCGTGAGGGTCGACGGCGCCGGAGAAAGCAGCAAGCCATCAAGGGATCCAAACCTTAACCCCCTCGTGGCAAAGGTCCGGCAACTGATGAGCAGCGGTCCCAATGGTTCGGTTTCTCTCTCCCTAAGTATCATATTTCCATATCCTTTACATGGTTAGGTTTTCTTCTCCTTGGCGACTGCTTGGCAGTAATTTCAGGCAGTTTTTGGGATTCTGAAGGTGTTTAGGATTAGTCTGGTCCAATGTTGGACTTGGGTTGTATTTTCTATTCCTTCTGAAAACAAAAATTCCTTTTGAATTTCTGTGAACAATTACTGCTTGTACTGGCAGCCTATAACTAAGGTTTCATGGGTCTCATGTTTTTCGTTAGTTCATAATGCGTAATGACACCGAGTTTTGCGAATTTGTCTTATCTGATTCGTTCATTGTATTACGTTATACTGGTTTTTTCTTGCTTGTACGCCTGTTAAAATTTTCAGAAGATATTATTGTAAACTAAATATCTTACACTCTAAATTGATTATTTGGTGTTGGATTGTCTGGAAAGATGAGTGTAGGCTTCATATCAGACTGTTACCTTTTGTTAAATGCTGTGCAACTTATGATGTAGATGGTTGGGAAAAGTGTTGGGAGGAAGGAGTGACGCCATGGGATTTGGGTCAGACAACACCCATCATTTCTCATCTTATTCAGACAGGAAAACTTCCTGAAGGCAGAATTTTGGTCCCTGGATGTGGCACGGTGAGACCTCCTCCTTATTTCTTGATTTTCTTTTAGGTTTTCTATGTATGTAGATTTTTTATTGGAATTTTTTCATATAATTTTAAATTATGAGAAACAAATTGCTGTTGGACACTTTACCTTATTATTGTAAGCTATTTTTGTATCACCTTTACATTGACTAGATAATCATCATCATTAGCTCTCTCTCAATTATTTGGCATTCTACGTTTTTTTTTTAGTTTCTGATTTTTTTTTAAATTTATATTTTTACTGACTATCTGTCTATTTTGTGCTTTTGATACCCATTTTTTGGTTTACGGAATGCTGGAAAAGGAAAGGGTGAGTTGGGGCTATGATGTGGCGGCGAAAAGGGGAAGTGCTTGAAATCACACAAAGTTTTTTAAAAATTTCCCATACCTACAAAGAAATGAGCACAACATAGTTATACTGCTCCAATTACAGGGAAATCATGTACAGGCAATTCATGTGAATTTTAAAGAAAAAGCACAAAAAAAGATAGAACAAGACAAATTAAAATTTTTTTACATGATTTAGTAAACCCCTTCAAAGGCCGACATTTTCAGCACACCTCTCTTGAGAAACTCACTAATCGCTTTTTTATAGCGGCTAGTGGAGAAGAATTGTGCAACCATTGTTGCCTTTAACTGATGTGCACAACCAAGAATGATAATGTGATTAATGAAAATATGAAAGCAGAATATGAACATGGAAATAATGTTATGGGAAATTATCCAATGAGGGTGTTAGGAAGACATTTTTCTTTAGAAGGGCATAATGAACATAACTATAAAGTATATTATAGACTGATCTCAAAGTGTGAAATTGAGCTAGCTCATTAAGGTAGAGCTTTAACTACATATGAGAAATACCTATATATTGTAAAAGTATGCAAATTATTTGAATAGTTTGTTAAAAGAAATACTGTTAATAGGTGAAAGGATCCATAATCAATTGGTAGAAGGAGAAGGTTGCTTCTCTAATGTCAGATGTTCTAGCCACATATTTTGTAATTTATTGTGCACAATTTCCCAAAAAAATCCTATTCGTGGAAGTATGAAACCTTAACGATTATAAGGATGTCAAATAATTGGAGATGTATTTTGATACTAATATTGGAGAATAAGTAATGTTAAAAGCTATGAAAATTATTTTATGAAGTTTTGAAAGCAAGTAAAGGAACATAAGTCTAACAAAAATTATGTTGAAGTTTTTTTTTTTTTTTTTTTTTGTTAATTCATGTGAAGATGATTCTTGTGTCAAGAAAAAATAATTGGAATTATAAGAAAAAGGAAGGATCCGTAAATATTTTTTTATAATGATCTTAAGATGGGTCATCGTCATGGTACATATCGTGCATGGTAACGAAAAGGTGAGTCAAAGATTTTTTTTTTAATTATTAAAAATATATATGATGGATCTTTTATTAGTAGTAGTTATGGAATAAATGAAGGGTTGGTAATCAGAATGAGATTACATCAAGGATTAATATTATTTTATAGCTTTCTGTACTTTTTTAAAAATACTAAAGATGGGTATCTTGATGCATGTTATTTGTAGATTACTTAATTCTAATTGGTGAGACCTATACTTGAACTAGCAACATTCAGTATAGTATCTTTAATTTATCATATAAATAAACAACGATATAGATTAGTGCCGGGGGAAAAGGGATGTTTATGTATCTTATTCAATGGATAACTCTATATTTATGATAGAGGAATAATATATACAATGTGGCAATATAAGCATATATATATATAAATATAAATATAAATATATATATA